TGATCTTCAAATATGTAAGTCAATAGTTATTTCACTTTAACACTATTTAAATTAATATATTATATGACTTGATGAATTTTTAAGATGGTCTGTGTTGAATCTGAATCTGTTCGGTAGATTGTGGCTAAGGAATAGAGCTTGAGAGAGAGAGAAAGAGAAAAGGAGAGGAGGACTTCCACATGCGGGAGAAATGGAGTGTTCCCGGGCTCCTGGACCCATTATGAAACTCTCATATTTATAGAAGATAAAAGGGGTAAAAGGTATATAAAAATTATAGATTTAGCCCTGCTTTAAAGAGAGAAAAAAAAGACATTCTAGTCCCCATTATCTTGGACTGTCGGATTGTCATGAGATCCATGTAAACCATTTTTAAGTATACAATTTAATTGTTATTTAGGGGCACCAAAGCTTTTTAGAGGGAGAGTTTTGATTGTACGAGAGATAAGTGTGATTTAAATTTTAATCATATAGAAGTTTCTTTGAGAAGCCATGTAATTAAATACAAATTATTTGAATGATTTGGATTGTTTAAATGAATAATAAATTAAAATTTTAGATGAGTTTTAAAAAATGGAATAGCTTTATTTTTGCCTACCCAAGGGCAAATTGAGATCACTATTAATTGTGTTTGTATTTTTATTTTATTTTATTTATATTTTATAATAAATTAAAAATTATTTAGTATCTTAAAAAATATTTTTTTTTATTGAATATCATACGATGATTAATGTGGCGATAATCTCCAGTGAGAAGTGGTTGTTGTGGCTGGTTGTGATATTTATTTTAAATATTTAAAGATAATTAATTTATTTTGTAAAAATTTTTTTTAAAAAACATGATTTAATTTTTTCTACTTTTTAGTTATTTATTATTGGCTTTATTGTAATTATTGCTTATTTCCCAAAAAATAATAATTAAATCAACATCATTAGCAAATTAAAGACATTGACATCCAAATAAACAGCCAAATAACATCACGGGGCAATGTAAGTTGGCTCCCGAAGTTCAGCTTCAAGCAACCAATGAAATCATGACACGTATTTAAAAAATTTCCTTAACTAATTCATGAACATATTTCTAATATAATTATAAATGACTACTAATTAAAGCACAATCATTCTAACCAATCAAATTCTATCCCTTCGATTGGAAAAATATTTGAGTACATAAGACGTACGCAGCGCTACATACGTCCAAGGGTTATTCAGGGGATACATGGGGGATATATCGGGGTTATACCCCTTTGTAACCCCCATATAACCTCTTTGTAAACTACCTGTAACCTACAAATGAGTTTCGTGTTTCTGTAATTTCATGGGTACAAATAAGTTACACGGAGGTTACATGGGGGTAAAACTCGAATATAACCCCCTGTAACCCCTGAATAACCCCTGACGTACGCAGCGCTGCGTACGTCTTATGTACGCAAATATTTTCCCTTCAATTGATCTTCAATTTCAGTTCTATTAAGCCAAGAGCCCTATAAATTTAAATTATGAAACACATTATTTAAAATTTGATTAATTAAAAATTAAAATAATGATATTAAATATTTTTTTATTCATAAAATACTTTTAGCCATATAAATGGACAATAGATTGTTCAAAAGTGTAATAGAAAATAGAGATGCATTATTAAAAAAATATATTTTTTTTTCTAAGACTTTTCAGCATTTTTTATATCTATTCTAATGATGATTAGGCTAATGATAGTTTGCATCCCAAGTAATCTAATTTAGGATGTATGAAAAGGTTCACTTTATGTAGGAGCATGTCTATGTCTTTTGAATGTAAAAAATATATTATTTTTGCAATTTGTTCATTCATTTGCAAACTTTCTTTGTTTTAACTTGTAGCAATCGGTTATGATTTCTTGATGACTAAACTACATGTTGATGTACTCGCGTTATTTTTTAATATTCATGCATTGGAAATCAATATAATACGATATTTGTAGAAGTTTATTCAATGTAAAAAACCGCTTGTTTAGGTCGAATAATCCACCTGAAAATACAAATGTTCCGCTGGAGATTTAATCATTTGGCGAATTAACAACAACTTATCAACTGTCGCAATATCCTAGAACAGAAATGGATTCTGATGACTATAATAACTACCATCAAATTTTCAAGCGGATTTTTGGCAAAATATTTGCTTGAACATTTCTGGCTGAAATAGCCAATGCAAAATTCGTCGGCATGATCACGTATTCAGTCGGCAATTTAGGATCTGAAGAACCGATGAAAAAAGTGATGAATATACCTGTCAATAATAAACTAGCTGAATTATCTATTGGTTTGGGGTATAGTGAAGAACTAGTTGAATTTTTTTTTCTTTCAGGAACTTATTACATCATTACCAATGGACTAGCTACAGGAAGTTCGCCAGAAACTTGTAATTTAAAGTAAGAAAATATGAAGAAACTCACACAATGGTATTTCCACATCTACAATTGAGACACAAATCACAGAGCAACTATATACATCAAAGTCTGAGAACCATGCTATATCAAATATACACAACATTAATAAAAAATAAAAATAAATATACTTCAAATCAATACAATAAATGATGTGTACAAAGAAAATATAGTGCACAAAGTTTCTCAAAAAAAAAATATAAGTATATTTCAGTATCAAATATAGATAAAATTAACAAATCAAAAATAAAAAGAAAGAACTGCTTTGAGTCGGTTTCATCATAGCGATCTTCCTTCTCCTCCTCCTGCATCACTATCAGTTGTTACCCTTGTTGATGTGTGTTGCATCATATATGCCCCATTTTAGCCTCTATTTCAACTAGTTGAGCTTCCATTGGAGCGATAAGTCGAGCTTTAATGTTCTAAGCAAATGCCGCAACACTCATGTTGATCAGTTCATCAATATATGTGGAGCTCTTACCGGAGAAAGAGTTATGGCCCAAGAAGAAAGTGGAATGGATGCATGCCTTTCTTCTTTGAAGCTATATGATTATATTTATGGCACGTTAACACTGAGGTTTCAAGGGAATGTTATAGGATCCTTTGAATGCCATATGATACAACACTAACATTAGGGGCAACATTTCATTAGGGTCTCAATTAATTTTTTTTTATAAAATTATGTTATCAATTTTTTGATCGTTACTTGTTATAAAGTGTCATTAGAATCGTCACCAACACCATTCAAACCACTATCACTGTTGATATAGTATATGCTTGAAATACACATAACTTATTAAATGTTAAAGAGTTTATTTGACTATTATTAAGAATGATAATATAAATCATAATGCAAAAACTCAAGCAGGTCAAATATTTGTATCCAGTTTAATCTAGCATGGACATGTTGAATCATCCTCTTCTTGAGATGACAAAATCATAAAACATGATAAATTTGTTTTCTCTACCTCTCGCGTCCATTAGTGCCTCCTATAAGTGTTCTACTTTTAAGACCCACTTGAAGCTGACAACTAGGACTTGTTAAAAACCTGAATTGTTATTGGTGGTCTCATTAAGGGCTTATAGAAGACATAAATACTATGCCTACTTTCTCATGTTCCATGAAAGTTCCTTGAAAGCACTTTTTCATCAATAAGATGGCCTTGAATTGATGTCAAAGGCCTCTTTTAATTTCTAACAAGGGTGATGATGATGGCAGGAGAAAAGTTTTTTTTTTTTTACAATGAAGACCTTAAAATGATTATGTGATTATGACTTGTTTTTGCCATTGAATTCCATATTAACAACATACAAGTCGTTGTTACCATCGATAAAGAGGGTGGGTGTAATTACCACCAAAAATTGGTTAAGTAATGATATGAAGAAGACATTTTTTGTTAGTATAGAAAATTGGTGAGAAGAACATTTTAGTTTAGCCTAAATTGAGATAGTTGTCTGGGGGCAATTCGTGTATTTTTTTATCTTAAATCAAACTTTTTTATTCATTTCATATGATCCATGCCAGCAACCAATTATTCTAACATAAATCTTGTTAAATATCCTATGACATGCTTCAATAGTCCATCCTTTCAAGTAATGAAGAACAAATCATCATCTTCCTTTTTTCTCATTTATATAATTCTAAGATTCACTGATGACTTCTCTCATCATTACATGGAAACAAATTATGTAAAAATCAAAAAACAAAACTATACCAAACAGAATCATCATACTTCAAGAGGACCAAAACTCAAAATCAAACACTACATACAAGGTCATAAATTGCTCACCAGTTAAATCCTTAGGCAAAAATATTTAACTACTTGATAAAAATTTCTTGGAGAGAATCTACCTCTCCATGAGTTGTATAAACCATAAATATCCCAATCTTAAAATATCCATAATCTCTACCAATATCCATCTCCACCAACATTCAAACCACCACAACACATACACTACCTAAATCAACTTTCTTTATAAAAATATCCAATTTATCATAAATCACACTAATAAAATTAAAAAAAAAAACCACATAAATTTTAAATCAATATGGCTAATACTATAGCCTTTCCGTCAACAACAGCTTTTAAGTCCTAAGTTTTTTTGTGACCAATAAGGAAGAACTTTCTGTCAAAAAACAAGGTAGCTGTAACTGTTGCATCTCACATGTTCATCAATTCAACAGTCTTTAACTTTCAAACTTGAAAAACCATACATGTCATATTGTAGTTCAAATTAAAATGCAATATCATTATAATATTAATATATTTAACCCCAAGGTCCCATTAATCAAATCCCTAATCATATAAAATGCAATATATACAACCTCTCCATGGACCCTCCATTCCTGCCTTCTTTCCAATAATTTAGATAAGAAAGAAAGAGACCCCTCATTATGTTCATAAAAGTCCTCCACTTTAAATTTATTCATTAATTTCCTCATTTCTCAGTCAAGTCATCCATCCTTACAAAAAAATTAATGTTGTTTATAATATCTTTACATAATATAAATATTATAGAAGTTAGCCACACACAATTTCTATATCTTTTTAATACTTGAAATCCCCCCCCCCTTCCCCTCCTCCCCCTTCCTCTCTCCTTCCACTCAAACTTTCTCATCCTTCACTCACACAAAGTGAGCTCATTTCTATCATGTCTTCATTAGCTTCTGCATCTTCATCACCGTCCTCATCCTCATCCATGAGTTTTCCCATAGTGGTTATCGCCATTGTGGGAATTCTCGGCACCGCCGCGTTCCTCCTCATCTACTACATCTTCGTCATCAAATGTTGTCTCAACATCCGTATCTCCGAGCCTGACCGTATCCTCCGCCGCATCTCCCGTTCTCGCCGGCGCCTCCAAGGCCACTTCTCTTTCACCTCCGCATCCGCGCCCATCGAACGCGGCCACGGGCTTGATCCTTCTGCCATCCGTTCCATCCCGACCTTCCGATACTCGTCGGCCGCCGCCCCTCTCGCGGCAGAATGCGCGGTATGTCTGCTCGAATTCCGGGAAAACGAGCGGCTGCGCCGACTGGCGGGCTGCGGCCACGCGTTCCACATCGACTGCATCGACACATGGCTCGAGTCGAATGCGAGCTGTCGACTGCATCGACACAGGGCGCGAGTCGAATGCGAGCTGCCCGCTTTGTCGGGCGGAGGTAACGAGTTTTCCGGCGGAGGAGAGCGTGGTGATAGGAATGGGGGAGAGGTGGGTGGGGAAGGTGGGGAGCATGGGGGATGAGTGCGTGGAGGTGAGGAGAGAGAAAGATGAGAGATTTGTGGTGCAGCCGATGAGAAGATCGCTGTCCATGGATTCATCCGGGGATAGGAAGGTGTTGGAGGGGGTTCAGGAGGCGTTGAGGAGAAATCCAGAGCTTTTGTTCAGGGAGGAAGGGAGTAGCAGAGGGGGATGGGGAGGGGAGAGAAGGCAGAGGTTGGTTATGGCTTTCGGAGGGTGGCGGTCCGGTCGGAGTTCGAGGAGGACCGTGGTTCAACCGGTGGAGATGGAGGTTTAAGGGCTACATCTGACGGTTCGGGCGAAGCCCCTTCAAAAGTTTCGTTGCAGAACCACAATGCGGACCTCCATTCCGAACATTAATTTTCTTCAACGTTTAAACGTGTCAAGAACGGACGATAAACAAACATATATTTACTCGATATAGCTTCGGGTGACATTGAATGGAACAGGGAAGCCTAAATTTTGGGAATGTAAATTGGTGTTTCATCATAATGAATGGTGGGGTTGTGAGTAAAATAGCATTGAGGTTAATTTCCAAATTGCGTTTTGTTTTTTTTTTTTTTTTTTTTTTTTAAAAATAAAAATTAAATTTAAATAATGATTTAATTAATGTCCGATAAAAGAAATATTTAAATATGGTTAGGAAGATGTTGAGCGGCAGCGGGATCACCGTCCCATGTGATTGGACTGAAACATGTAAATTTAATGAAATTTTAGAGCATTTTTATATTGCGGTATTTACATACATACCATCCAGTTCCTATGTAATTACATATTTAATACTTAAATATTAATTTTTATATTAATAACATCCAAATATTTGATATTAAGTAAAAAATATATCTATTTTAACTTTTTAAAAACAAAAAAGGTCTGAATTTCCTTAAAAATAGCTTCTTGCCTCATTAGCGAGAAAAAAGTATTTCATGCGTGCGGTGTCCGATCTCCTCGTTGATCATAGCGTTTTTTTTATTTAAATTCACCTCGAAATACATTTTTGTTGTGATCAACAGTGGAGATCAGACATCAAAGGCGTCAAAGATTAGGTTTATACGGTGGGAATATTTCAAAATATTCAGCAAGCTATTATTACAGATTTGACATTCATTGTAGTACAATTATTGAGGAATATTTAATGAGGTATTTGAAAAGCCATTTAGTTCATCAGTGTGCAGGGTTTACATGGTAAAAAAATAATTATGGTATTTATGAATAAAAAATATAAGTCTAAATTAAGCCTTATTATATGTAATAATTTTATTATATCATTTACCTTAATAATAATAATTTAAAAAATTGATTTATGATAATGAAATAATATGTGCGTGATGAATAAGATATGGATATCTGAATTCTGATGCTCTTAGAAGGAAATCACCAAGGGATTATTGATCAATTAAAAAAGAATTAATTTCATTGTTAATTTGGTGACCCATTATATATATCAAAAGAGAAATTAAACATAAGGGAAGGAGGGAGGAGCTTCCTTAGAAGTATGGGTCTTTCTTGGAGAGCCAAAAAAACATTGTTATAAGTGTTAGACCCTCTATTTATAAAAGATAGAGAGTTGTTAAGATAGAAATTACATTTTCGCCCCTGCTTTAATCAGGGCGTTGTAGGATATTTTGGTCTTTTCATATTTGGTAACTGGTTTTAGCATCATTCGATGTTTCTGGATTCTCCACCTGTCTGATTTCCCCTTTGGTAGACAGAGATGTCGTCGATCAAGCATTCCGTCTGGATACTGGATGACCTTTGTGTTTTTGGTAGCGGTTGAGTGTGAACATTGCGGGCTGTCGTATTTGGATGATCGGTTGGTTAATTTTTAGCAGTCAGTCTATTTGTTAATGGCTGGTCGATTGGGAGGTTGGGTTCCAGCTCATTGGTTCAGGAATCATATGCCTTCATATTTTCTGTCATACATGTTTGTCCGCTGTCGGTGGACCTTAGGCCACCCGATAAGCCGCGAGTTCAGCCGAACATTTAAATTTTTGATTTGGTCTGTTAAGCTGCTTTGAGATCTGTGCAAATCATTTTTGGGTGTACTTATTAAGGTTTTCAATTTTTTTGCTTTTTAGCAGTGACAACTGTAATAAGAACAATGAAATTCTAAACTTCAACAAAATGAATCTTATAATAATCTTTATTTAATACATAAATATGCTCTGTTAATTACCATGCCCATGATCTTTATATATATGTCGCTAAAGGGGCAACTTCATCATTTCAAGTTTGTTCATCTTCTGGACGTTTGTTCATCGTCCGTTGTTTCTTTATGGAGAAAGGATCTAGCTCCGCGCTAAAAGTCTTTGATAAAGCTAGAATGCTAGCCACTCTCGAGTTCAAATCGTGTTGACCCGAGGATGAGTCATCGAGGAAGAAATTGGCCAAGAGGCCAAAATCGATTAAAGCAGCGAGGGTGGAAGAGCTGTTTGATTTGATTTGAGATGTTCTGGGGAAGAATTTGCCCAATATTGGAGGGTAGCTGGGAGCCTTAATAATCGACCCACCGGATGCTGTGAATATTTTTCTTATGGTCGATACTCAATGAGTCGGCAGATATGACCCTCCATCCAGTGAGAAGTGGTCATCAGATGCTTTTTCATCCTATTAGGTGGGCGGAACAACCTGATAAAAAATGACTTAGATTATGGGTAAATTATTTTCCTTTTTTTTTTAATAGCTTGATGCTTACTGACCATTTTTTTTTCACATATGAAAATCCTTGCATCGGACAATTGCTCATCGGTGTTGGTGGTGGTGACTCAATTCTGTGGACAAATCTAGCTCTAAAGGTACTGACTAGCAGCGAAGAGGATGTGGTCAATAACCTGACTGGACCCAAAGAGGACTAGGGTGTAACCTCTGATGGACGTTGGCTATCCCCTAGGACTTTAGCAGCTTGTGTGGAGGATTGGAGGCGATTCTGGCCTGACAGGACTGAGACTTGCAAGCTGAGCTAGAGGAGATGCGTAGGAAAACGGTCGGTCTTCATTGAGAGATTGTTAACGGAAAAATGAAAGGTAACTTGAATGCCAGCCTTGATTTGAAAGAAATATGCAAAAGGCGGAAGTTAGAGTTCCAAGAAACTGCTACTGGCAAGCTCATTAAGCCCAAAGCAAAATTTTCCCTCATTTTGTTCCAACGACGAAGAATTTGTGAGTGGTTCAAATCATTAAATTTTTCGAGTGGGTATGCTTTGAATTTGAGTCGATGTGTTGATGTGGGCGCTGAAAAAAATTTTAGAATGAAAAGCCACGACTGTCATATCTTCTTATAAAATTTGATACCAACCACATTTAGTTGTTTGTCGAGCGAAGTCCTTAATCCATTGATTGAAATTAGTGTGTTATTCAGGGAGCCATGTGCTGCTCATTTGAAGCTTGATGGTATAAGCCAACTAGAAGCAAACATTCCTGTAACACTTTGCAAGTTTGAGAGAGTATTTTTGTCTAATTTTTTTAACTCGATGGAGCATCTCCCCGTACATTTACCCATGATGCATTAATTAGAGGTTCAGTACAGTACCGTTGGAAGCATCCGTTTGAGAGATCATTATATTAGAACTAGATAGTTAGCTATTTATTTATAAAAAAAATATTAGTAAATTGTACTGAGCAAAATTTATTTTTTAGATTTTTGAACAAACTGAAGAGAACTGTGAAGAATAAGGCCCGAATAGAATGCTCGATATGAGAAATATATTTACTGCAAGTGACAACGACATTCTACTCCTTTTATTTCGCGGAAGAAGAATCCACAAAAAAATCATTGGGTTTGGTGCCACCATCGATCCTTTCTATTTTCTATTTTCTAGCAGTTAGATGAAGCACCAGGGAGGTTCACATTACATTACTTTATTGATAAGGAACTTTAAGTAGAGACACTTTATATTCTTCTTAATTGCGACAAAGTATAACCCTTGAATGAGTAATATATTTTTATTATAATTTAAACTCATTTATCTGAAAAGTCTAATGATTAACTGTTTCAATGATAATTCAGTATGTGAACAAGTTATTTGTGAATTCGTTAAATTTAGTTGAAGACGATGATACAAGCATAGATATCGAGAATAACTTCCCCCTAGTGGTTTACAACACATGTGAGTTAAAATTAATGTATTCATTCCTAATATGTCATGAGGCTTTTCATTAACACAGTAATATATATATATAT